AGCCTCTTGATGAAAGTGAAAGAGGAGAGTGAAAAAGCTGGTTTAAAGCTCAACATTCAGAAAACTATGATCATGGCATCCAGTCCCATCACTTCATGGCAAATAGATGGGGAAACAGTGGAAAGAGTGACAGATTTTATTTTCTTGGGTTCCAAAATCACTGCAAATGGTGACTGCATCCATGGAATTAAGATGCTTGCTCCTTGGAAGAAAAGCTATGACCAACCTAGAGAGCAAAGTACAGACATTACTTTGCCAACAAAGGTCTGTCTAGTCAAAGCTATGGTTTTTCCAGTGGTCATGTATGGATGTGAGAGCTGGTCCATTAAGAAGGCTGAGTGCTGAAGAACTGATGCTTTTGAACTGTGGTGTTGGAGAAGACTCTTGAGAGTTCCTTGGACTGCAAGGAGATCAAATCAGTCCTGAATATTCACTGGAAGGACTGATGCTGAAGCTGAAGCTCCAATACTTTGACCACCTGATGTGAAGAACTGACTCTTTAGAAAAGACCCTGATGCTATGAAAGCATCAGAAGCTGAAAGCAGAAGGAGAAGGGGACAACAGAGGACAAAACAGTTAGATGGCATGACCGACTCAATGGGCATGAGTTTGAGCAGGCTCCAGGAGATGGTGAAGGACAGGGAAGCCTGGCGTGCTGCAGTCCATGGGGTCACAGAGAGTCAGACACTACTGAGCAAGTGAACAACAACCACCACTCTGCTCAGGCTTCCCAGGTGGCGCTAGTGGTAGAGAACCTGCCTGCCAATGTAGGAAACGTGAGAGACATGGGTTCAATCCATGGCTCGGGAAAATCCCCTGCAGGCGGGCATGACAACTCACTCCTGCATTCTCCCCTGGAAAATCCCGTGGAGAGAGGAGCCTGATGGACTAGAGTCCATGGGCTCACACACACTCGGACACGACAGAAACAACTTAGCACACAGGCACCATACTCACTCTAGTCTTCCTGACACCTTCCAAAGGGCTGCCCCTTCCTTTGCTGCTACCCTCTTTCCCATCACCTTCAGTTTTATAGCTCCCGTGAGTCTTGTGAGAATCATCTCAACGGCATCTTCCTTTGACCACAAACTCCATGTTGTTTGCACCTATATCAAAGCACCTGTCTCATAGTACCATTGTTAATTTTTCTACCTCATCTGCTAAACTAAATTCCCAAGGGCAGTGGCTATGTTTTAATTATATTATGTGTTCATGTCTCTTGGAAAACATTAAGTGCTAAACAGAACTTACTGAATGAAAATATTTTTTTTATTTTCAGCTTTGTCCATTAGGTATAAATGAGTTTGAAATTCTTTGACTAGTACAAACGTTTAAGTATGATTATAAATTAAGTATTCCTTAATTCATTTTATATCAAAAAATAAAATCTTTATACTTTTTAATGTAGACCACAATGAAATATACTGCTTAAATTTTACTAAATTGGGTGAATGTTTAACCCTAATCCCCTTTTAATTTTTTAAAGAGATTTAGATATATTAGTAAACTAGGCAAAATAGTAAAACAACTAATCAAATAGTAACCAACCAGGAAATTGTAGTTGCAGACTCTATTTTTAATTAGAAAAAATAGGTTTAAGAAAAAGAAGAAGAAAAGAGTAGAATAAATTTCCATTTTGACTGTTTTCTTAGTTCAGCGTTTCTCAGATTGTATCCTATAGAAAACTATTTCTTTGAGAACTGATACACAAAAACATAAGCTCCGTGTCAGTAAATGTGGGAATTCCTTCAAACACATCCCTCCCCTGGAGGCATATAATGCCTCAGGAAATCCTTCAAAAAAGAAATATGCCTGACTTAATTCATCCTAACTGCTCCCTAAGGTAGTTGGCCAGGAATTCACTCTTTACCCCTCCCCACCCCACACACAGCCTTGTCTGGAGAACAAATGTTAAGAAATTTCATCTTTATTTATTCATTACCTTGAGTTGACAAAAGATACATCATTAGAAATACAGATATATTAAAAGAGCATTAGAAAGGAAAATCATGAGATTAGAAGATGAGAATTTGACCATCATCTCTATGACTTTCTGGATACACAATAGTAGATAAGTAATTTAACCTTCCTAAGCCTCAATTTCTTCATCTATAATATGCAGTCAATACCCTTTACATTACCAGATTGTCACAAGGACTGCATGAGAAATTAAATGTAAAAGAAGTTTGAGTTTGTCAACTATAAATTACTACACAAATATTACATAAAATAGTATTACCTAAATAAATTTTCCTGTAAAAATAAAATGTTTTAGTGGATAAATACTCCAGAAAATATTTGTTTTGTTCTAAAATATAATATGTATTCCACTTACCTGTCCTAATGCCCAACTATCTCCAAATACCTGGGCATTTCTCACTTCTAAGTTATTGGATGTGGTCATATCATTTGAAGTACATTTGTCAAAGTTTCCACATAATCCTGATAATTTGTTCTAAAGTAAAAGAAAATTACCATGAAATATTCTATATTCATTCCAACATTTAAGGACTAAAATTTTAAACATCTAACAATAAAAATTTCTAATAATACTTAGTACAGTATTTAATAATAAGCAATCATTAAAACAATGTAAAATATAAATTGAAAAGGACTGTAAACAATCCAGACTGAGTATTCAACTGGGTAAACAACAGACTGAGTATTAATGGATAAAACAAACTAGTACATCCATACAAGAGTATCAACCAGCAGTAAACAGGAACAAACAATTAATTCATTCAAAAATATGCATGAATCGTGAATGTGTTCCATCAAGTCAAAGAAGCCAGACCCGAAAAACTATATATTGCATGATTTCGTTTATACTGTATCCAGAAAAGGCTAAACTATACAGTGGTTGCCCAGGGTGAAGGGTAAGAAGTAGCAATTGACAATAGAAGGGCAACACAGAAGAAATTTGGAAGCTGACAGATCTGTTCTTTCTAGAACTGTGGTGGTGGATACACAACTCCATGCATGTGTTAAAATTCATAGAACTGCAAATCATAAAAATAAATTATTTTACATTTTTAAAGAATTTTACTGTATGTAAGCTTAAGAATATCCAGAAAGTGGATGAAAAGATGGATGTAAATTGTAATAATCCAACTGTATTACAAACAATATCATATAACCATGCTGTAGGGAGTGGGAATAAAAGAAGCTGAACTAAGTAACTTTGGAAAACTGGATACTGTAAGGTTGAAGTTTAAAAGAATGGTATGCAACACTTGGTAAAGTTACTCTTCCCTGGGATCTGACTTAGTTATTCTAAAAATATAACATTTCTCAAAGGAAAACATCAATCATTTTATTTCCATAAAACATTAAAAAGTCAAATGTAATTTCATTTCTTGTATCTCATTTGGATTGACCTACAAAGTAGGTTGACTTACCTTCCACTGTGGTCCAACTTTGATATGGATGGTTGTCTTTTCATCCCAAAGAACAGTGATGTCTTTCTCTGGAAAGTATACCACCATGTAGTACCCTGCCTTCCACAACTGATACGTTGGTTTATTTTCCAGAAAAAAACCTGATCGTTTCTTCAAAAAGAGAGAAAAAACCTTATTAAGGAAAAAAAATGAATTTCTTATTTTCTTACCAAAATGCAAACATTAATTAAATTAATATCCATCAATAAGTATCTATGTACTAGCATTTTTGCTTAGCCCTATCTTTCCCTAATTTTATAATGAAAGACAAAACAAATGAACAGAACAGGAAAACATAAAGTTGATAACAAGACACAAACTGGTAGATAGGCTCAACATAGATAAATGGGCAAAGAGAAAAATGCATTTCAGTTATAGAGAAGAGCACAGACAAGGCATGGACATACAGTACATTAGGTGGATACACGTGCTGAGCCAACAACTCTATATTGATGGTCAATAAACATGATTGAGTACCAAAAATGTCAATGGACATGAATCTGAGCAAACTCCAGAAGATAGTGAAGGACAGGGAAGCCTAATGTGCTGCAGTCCATGGGGCCACAAAGAGTCAGACAGGACTCAGAGACAACAACAACCAAAAATGTATGACTTTGCATAATTGAAAAACATAAGCACAAAATGTGTATGTGTCTGTCTATAGAGAAAGAGAAAGAGGTGGTAAGGAGGATGAGGAGATGAATTTCCATCAAAGGAACTTAGGAAGGCTTCTTGCAAGAGGTAGGACATATATTATTGATCTGTAAGAGATCATAAATAGGAAAATAAACAGGGGTGGAAAATACAATGAGGAAAGAAATCATTGCAAGCAAAGGGAATCGGCTAAATAAAGGTTGGGGTTGGGGGGCGGGAAGTTCAAGATTTTTACAGAACTAGAGAAAGCACAGATAGCTACAGCATGAATTCCATGACAAGCATAGTCTAATACTCTTTGCCATCAAGTTACCCATTACAGTCAATGGCTGTTATTTCATATGCAAAATGCCCTCAACAGAGGATTTTTAACAGTAAAGTGACAGACAATGTTTGTGTACTAAAAGAAAATAATGTGTGTGCTAGAAAGGATGGAATCTATTGGGAAAATTTATAGTACCTTCAACCTAAAGTGAGAATATGCAATGTTCTTTATGGATAAGAGCTATACCCTATAAAAGATGATGCTGACTCTAAACTGAAATTAACTCACATAATAATTTTTAAAATGCATGGTTAAATCAAAGCAAATAAAGCAAATTTTTAACCAGAAGCAAAATTAAAATTGTGAAGGAGATATGAAATCCTTTGGTTATTTTTTCTCCCAAGTAATAACAAAAGCATAGTTTGGGAAACACTGTACTAGAGTGTACATTTTATAAATCTTTCATAGGGTAAATTACATAAACTCATATTCACAAGAAATTTTCAGTCTCCTAGACCAACATACTTGCAAGTGCTCAGTATATTGTATAGCACAGTAAATATTTTGTTAGTGGACTCTGCCTAACCTCATTTCTTTCTGCTTCCAAGTACCAAGTTGGAGTTATGGGCAATGTCCTCAGTACCTGTAAGGGTCTGCGTTCAACCTGGAAGTATACTTGTGTCCAAGTAAGCAAGGCATTAAGTAATAAAGATAAAACACTATGGCAAGTCAAGAAAGACTACAAAACAAAGGGAAAAAATTCCTGTTTTCATCANGTCAAGAAAGACTACAAAACAAAGGGAAAAAATTCCTGTTTTCATCAAGGGGGTATACATTTTCACTTCACAAGGTCCACAAAATGTAGCATACCAGTCCACCATATCACTCTGCCATAGAATCTATTTTTATCATTTTGATTATACTTTTCAGGACCTTTTCATCATCTGATTTGTCTTTGGCTTTATTATCTGTCTTCCTCCCTTTGTGAATGTTAGCTCCTAGAAAGATGTACTTTGTCAAGTTTATGGCAGTATCTGCACCTTCCAGATCACGGGTAACTCATATATTTTTAATACCTTCTTGCACTGGCCTACTCAGAGTTCTCAGCTTCCAGCCTGAGCAGCAATAATCAAAGGAAGTAAGTGAAATGCTTGTGGCTTATAGCTCCTTTTCAATCCATGAAATACTTTGTCATGTATTTTCCTATTAAACTTCCCTCGGGCTGGTTGACATCTCACTGGAACATAAAATAAATTTTTGGATAAGATTATTGGACTTCCTTCAGATTGGCTTTGTATTAGTTATCCTGATGTAAAAGCTCATCCTCTATATTTGCCTATAGAGCTAAATCCTTCATTTTTATTAGACAGGGCAGTTTGCTACAAGAGAAAAATCCTCTTTGGTCAGAAAGAGATACTGTACTTTTTTTTTCAGATTAGGAAGCAAAGATGTTTCTTCTTATAAGAATGAAGTATTGTGCATTGCCCAAAATAGAGACCTCCACTTCAGAGGAGAATTACAGCACTGTAAATAAACTCGAGTGATGTTAGAAAATAAGTTATAAAAGNAAGCAAAGATGTTTCTTCTTATAAGAATGACGTATTGTGCATTGCCCAAAATAGAGACCTCCACTTCAGAGGAGAATTACAGCACTGTAAATAAACTCGAGTGATGTTAGAAAATAAGTTATAAAAGTGAAGAATTAAAATTTTTAAAATACAGCTTAAATAAACTCATATTTATATCCTACATACTTGATAAAACTAGAATTGTATATTTATTGAGAAAATAACAGGTTTTTTTCCCTTCCCCTAAATGAGCAATCCATCTGCCATAAAATAAATGGTACTTATTTTCACTTTTGATGTTCAAGAAAAAATATTAACCAGGGATTTGTTAGGGTTGAACTATTTTTATGATTTTTCTTCATCTTCCTTTATACTTCACAACTGATATGAAGGAGATTCATCAACAGCTCCATTCAGGTGAAAAATGCAAGATGAAAGTTACACAGAGCTGCAATTACCACTTCAAAAATGTGTCAAACAGTCTTTATAAGAGCATTTACTATTTTCAGTTTTTATTTTTTTAACATCCTTTTTCTTGGACTTCCCTGGTGGCTCAGAGGTTAAACCGTCTGCCTGCAATGCAGGAGACCCGGTTTCAATCCCTGGGTCCAGAAGACCCCCTGGAGAAGGAAATGGCAACCCACTCCAGCATTCTTGCCTGGAAAATCCCATGGACAGAGGAGCCTGGTAGGCTACAGTCCATAGGGTTGCAAAGAGTCGGACAAACAGTCTTTATAAGAACATTTACTGTTTTCAGTTTTTCTTTTTTTTAAAACGCATCCTTTTTCTTAGAGAAAACTTTCACCAATAAATGAATATCCAGTTGAAGGCTACCCCAAACTGCAGTAATTATTTCAAAAAGATGTCAACATGACTTATACTGTTTTACTTAAATCTTGATCACTGCCTGGTTGGTCTCAACATTTCTGACTAGGACATGAGCTCTGATCTAGGGCACCAATTCTCAAATGTTAGTGTATGGAAGAATTTGGGGTACCATTAAAATATTGATTGTCATCAGCTTCAGCCATTCTAATACCTGAGTTGGAGTTCATGAACCAGCTCTTATGATTAATATTTGAGATGATTTGAATGCAGAATTTTTGCAAACCAGACTAAGAAATGCTCATCTAAAAATTCAGAAATAGGCCACTTTTAAAGGCCATATGTCAAATTATGTTGCTTGATTCCAAAATGTCTTCCTTGTAAAGTAAGTTCAAACACATTACACAGCCATCCTATCGACTGCCCTTGTCCCTGAGCTTCCTGCATGAAGGTCAGTGTGGACACTCCTCCCCGAATCTCTTTGCCTCACCCTTCCTCCACCATCCCCATCTACCTCCACCAAACTAGACTGCTTGAGTTCTCCAAACATACCATTTTATCTTTCAACTCTGTTCCTTTCAACATGACTGTTCCTCTGTACTGTCCTTCTATGCCCTCTCCTCACCTGGCTAATACCTGCTCAACCGCTAAAGACAGTTCCAATCATTTTCCCCAAAGCATGTCTTCTGAGCCTCCAAAAATAAGGAGGGTGAAGGTGAGGAGGAGAGGAATTTCCTGAAATACATCTTTCATTTAACTCTCATATGAACTTAGGAAGTGGGTTTCATAATCATCCCAAATTTACAAATGAGAAAGCTGCCGCTTGGAGGGGTTGCCCAAAGTGACGGAGTTAGCAGGTGACAGAAAATACGGGTTCTAAGTGAGTACTGACTGACTCCAAAGGCCATGCTCTTTACAACTACCCTCAACATCCCAAGCTGCTTAGGTCTTCTTCTGAGGGATGGTCCTGCTTTCCTAAGCACGCTCCTACCATCGCATACCACACCGCACAGCCTCCTTTACTTGAATGGATCCCTCAACTGAGTATAAGTACCTTAAGCAAAGCACAGTGTCATTTCATTGTTGTGGCCACAATAATTAACACATATTTTGATATAAAGTAAACATTTTGAATAAATGAATGAATGAATGAAATTTATTCATTCTTTCAAATTGCACTGGCTCCAAGTATACAAGAATGAACAAAGAAAACAGTGGTCTCAATTCTCACAGAACTCATAGACAAATAGAAAAGACAAACCACCTCACAAGTAATCTCAAAAAGTGTGATGCACATGCTGACAGGGAGCTTGAGCACATGAGGAGGGTCTCCTTGAAGGAGATAAGACAAGACTTGTCACATAAGAGTAGGTTAAATGGAAAGGTTGATCCAGGTAGGAGCAATGGTATTCATGAATAGTCAGAGGTGAGAAAAAAAATATAGAGCATTTGAAGAACTGTTAAAAGCTCTGATTTCTAGAACATGGGCTTGAAGTAGAAACTGACCAGACGTGCGGCAGAAGAGGTGGCCATGGCCAGGTTGGGGAGGCCTTGTAAGGGCAATGGGAGGTCATCTGAAAGTTTCAAAGCACAAGGGAGACAGGAGATGAGATATCCATCTTAGAAAAATCACCCTGGCCGCAATCTGGCAAGATGGATCAGAGGGGAAAAACTAAGACTGGAGGCTAGCTTGGATAGCTTGGATAATGTCTAGCTTGGATAGCTTGGATAAGGTCTAGCTTGGATAATGTTGAAATACTCCAGGTAACTGATGGCAAGGAAAGAATTGACAAATGGCGATGTGGAGTGTAAACAAAAGAGACAAATCAAGTATGATTTACTGAAGCCACATAAAATGACAAAGAAAAAAATTAAAATCTAGTAATCACTTATAAAGAAAAGTACCTCAAACTGCTTCTATTTTCTTTTCAGTATATTCAGGACAAGTTAAAATGATTTTACAAAAACTAATTCACTAACCTGTTTGTAAGGAGAATCATTCAGGTAAATCTCAGTGGCTCCAACCGAAATCAAAACACTTTTAGAACAAACAATATCGTTGTCAAAGCATTTCTTGTTCTGGGCAATGACAGATATATCTGAATCATCTGTACTCTGAAATGTCAAAAATATTATATTAATACAAATCTATATTATACATAATTTTTACTTATTTTTCATTAAATCTTAAAGTATTCTGATTTATAATGAATTATAAGGAAAATGAAATACAACTTACTCCTAAAATAAAAATCATTTTTTATCTCATAATGTAAAGAATTTAATAAAAATATAGCAAGTTAACTCAATCTTTAAACTTTTATCTATAATATCTCCTTTTAAAATGTTGTTCCAAGAAATCTTTCTTTCCATTTTATTTTTTGTTGTGCTTGTTCAGTTGCTAGTCATGTATGACTCTTTATAGCCCCATGGACTGCAGCACGTCAGGCTTCCCTGCCCTTCACCATCTCCCAGAGCTTGATTAAACTCATGTCCATTGAGTTGGCAATGCCATCCAACCAGCTCAGCCTCTGCTGTCCCCTTCTCCTCCTGCCTTCAATCTTTCCCAGCATCAGGGTCTTTTCTAATGAGTCAGCTCTTCACATCAGGTGGCCAAAGTATTGGAGCTTCAGCTTCAGCATCAGTCCTTCCAAAGAATCTTCAGGACTGATTTCCTTTAGGATTGACTGATTTGATCTCCTTGCAGCCCAAGAGACTCTCAAGAGCTGTCTGCAGCACCACAGTTTGAAAGCATCATTTCTTCAGCACTCAGCCTTCTTTTTGGTCCAACTCTCATATCCATAAATGGCTATTGGGAAAACCATAGATTTGACTATGTGGACCTTTGTTGGCAAAGTAATGTCTCTGCTTTTGAATATGCTGTCTAGGTTTGACATACCTTTTCTTCCAAGGAGCAAGCATTTTTTAATTCCATGGCTGCAGTCACCATCTGCAGTGATTTTGGAGTCCAAGAAAATTGTGCCATTGTCTGAACATTCTTTGGCATTGCTTTTCTTTAGAATTGGAATGAAAACTGATCTTTTCCAATCGTGTGGCCACTGCTGAGTTTTCCAAATTTGCTGACATAGTGAGTGCAGCACTTTCACAGAAGCATCTTTTAGGATTTGAGATAGCTCAGCTGGAATTCCATCACCTCAACTAGCTCTGTTTGTAGTGAAGCTTCCTAAGGCCCACTTGACTTCACATTCCAGGATGTCTGGCTCTAAGTGAGTGATCACACCATCGTGGTTATCTGGGTCATGATCTTTTTTGTATAGCTCTTCTGTGTATTCTTGCCACCTTTTCTTACTATATTCTGCTTCTGTTAGTTCCCTACTGTTTCTGTCCTTTATTGAGTCCATCTTTGCATGAAATGTTCCCTTGGTATCTCTCATTTTCTTGAGGAGATCTCTAGTCTTTCCCATTCTATTGTTTTCTTTGCATTGTTCACGTAGGAAGGCTTTCTTATCTCTCTTCATTATTCTTTGGAACTCTGCATTCAGATGGGTATATCTTTCCTTTTCTCCTTTGCATTTCTTCTTTACTCTGCTATTTGTAAAGCCTCCTCAGATGACCATTTTGCCTTTTTGCATCTATTTTTCTTGGTGATGGTTTTGATCACTGCCTTCTGTACAATGTTATGAACCTCCGTCCATAGTTCCTCAGGCACTCTGTCTATCAGATCTAATCCTTTGAATCTATTAGTCAGTTACTGTATAATCATAATGGATTTGAATTAGGTTGTACCTGAATGGCCTAGTTGGAGAAGGAAATGGCAACCCACTCCAATATTCTTGCCTGGAAAATCCCATGGATGGAAGAGCCTGGTAGGCTACAGTCTGTAGGGTTGCAGAGTCAGACACGACTGAGCGACTTCACCTTCTGTGGTTTTCCCTACTTTCTTCAATTTAAGTCTGAATTTTGCAATAAGGAGCTCACGATCTGAGGCATAGTTAGTTCCCTGTCTTGTTTTTGCTGACTGTATAGAGCTTCTCCATCTTTGGCTGCAAAGAATATAATACAATTTGATTTTGGTATTGACCATCCGGTGATGTCCATGTGTAGAGTCATCTTTTGTGTTGTTGGAAGAGGGTGTTTGCTATGACCAGTGCATTCTTTGACAAAACTCTATTAGCCTTTGCCCTGCTTCATTTTGTACTTCAAGACCAAACTTGCTTGTTATTCCAGATACCTGTTGACTTCCTACTTTTGCATTCCAGTCCCCTATAATGAAAAGGACATCTTTGGGTGTTAGATCTAGAAGATCTTGTATGTCTTCATAGAACTTTTAAACTTCAGCTTTTTTAGCATTACTGGTTGGGGCATACACTTGGATTACTACGATTTTCAATGGTTTGCCTTGGAAACAAACTGAGATCATTCTGTTGTTTTTGAGATTGCAAGCATGTTCTGCATTTCAGACTCTTTGTTGACTATGCGGGCTAGACCATTTCTTCTAAGGAATTATTGCCCACAGTAGTAGATATAATGGTCTTCTGAGTAAATTCGCCCATTCCCTTCCAGTTTAGTTCACTGATCCCTAAAATGTCAGTGTTCACTCTTGCCATCTCATGTTCGACCACATCCAATTTACTGTGATTCATGGACCTAACATTCCAGGTTCCTATGCAATATCATTCTTTAGAGCATTGGACTTTATTTTCACCATCAGACACATCCACAACTGGGCATTGTCTCCACTTTGGCTTAGCCTTTTCATTCCTTCTGGAGCTATTTCTTCTCTCCTCTCCAGTAGCATACAGGGCACCTATTGACCTGGGGAGTTCATCTTTCAGTGTCATACCTTTTTGCCTTTTCATACTTTTCATTTATTATTACAGCTCAGATTTATCAACCAGTTCCTTCCCATCAAACATCCAATAAGGTATGTCACTTAAGGAAATTTTAAAAGAGATATTTTCATTTAGACAATATCCTTTGCTGTATTTTAAGGAGTTCTCTGGCTAAATAATTATTTGCTTGAAGATAAAATCAAAATAAATATAAAACTTTGATACTGTGTTAGTAAATAAAATAATGTATATGAGGGTTTACTTTGAACTTTACATGCATGATCTCATTTAAGTCTTATCACAGTTCTTGAATTATGCATTATCTCCATTTTATAGATAAAGAAACAGAGGTTAAGGATTAAATGAATGTCACTTAGCTAAATAAGAACAGAGTTCAAAACCCTGTTTTTTCTTAATGCCACTTCTAGAGAAATTAGAAAGAGTTTAGAAATGGTTGAGGAAAAAATTCAATTGTAGGTTATAAGGAATGTTTAGTTTCAGAGAATGTTATGTAATCTCTCACACTCTAAATCCAACCTGCTCTCCATATCCTCACCGTCACCTGCATTCAGCCACTTCCCTCCCCAATCCACCAAGAACTCACTCTCTGGAAACACTGCTTCTGATTTTGTATCCCATTTTCATGAATTGGTTTCAACAGTTCTATAGATCCTGGAAGCTCATTGTAAAAGATTGTTTTGAGTGTGTATAATATTCTAGGAAGAGAGTCCATGGTTTTCATTACATCTTTGAAGTGGTCCTTATCGCTATGAAAGTTAAAGCCCCATTGCTCTGAGTCCTGTGACAATTCTCTCAAACGTCTGGAAATCATATAGGTCTTGATATAAATTCTCCATACTTAGTTTTTTATATCACCAACAATATGAATACTAGCATAACATATTTCTTGCTTTGGCCAAATTCTGTCTTATTAGTAATTACTATAGCATGTTGCCTAGACAACAGGTTTACAATGAATGCTGTTGGCAGAGTAATTAATGTGTGCCTTTGTGACCCAGTTTTCCTTACTTCATAGGAACTGAGAACTTTTTCTTCTTAATAATTCTTTTCTAAAGTATTGCCTAAATTTTGAAAGGGAGAATAATAAAGGTCATTAAGATGATTATTTGTGCCTTTGTGACCCAGTTTTCCTTACTTTATAGGAACTGAGAACTTTTTCTTCTTAATAATTCTTTTCTAAAGTATTGCCTAAATTTTGAAAGGGAGAATAATAAAGGTCATTAAGATGATTATGGCATTGTATTAGTCAAAAAAAAAATAATGCCATACTTTTCTGCCCTTATGAATGATTTTCAAAGAAGAAATATATAAGTCAGGGTTTTGTTTTACTCTTCCTCTCTGTGGTTATTCAGTCAGTCATGTCTGACTCTTTGTGAACCTATGGACTGCAACATGCCAGGCTTCCCTATATTACACTATCTTCCAGAGTTTGCTCAAACTCATGTCCATTGAATCAGTGATGCCATCCAATCATTTCATCCACTGCCATCCCCTTCTCCTCCTGCCTTCAATCTTTCCCAACATCAGGGTCTTTTGCAATGAGTCAGTTCTTTGCATCTGGTGGCCAAAGTATTGGAGTTTCAGCTTCAGCATCTGTCCTTCCAATGAATATTCAGGACTGATTTCCTTTAGGATGGACTGGTTTGATCTCCTTGCTGTCCAAGAGTTTTCTCCAACACCACAGTTAGAAAGCATCAATTCTTTCGTGCTCAGCTTTCTTTATGGTTCAACTCTCACATCCATACAGACTACTGGAAAAACCAAGATTTGACTAGACAGACCTTTGTCAGCAAGAGTTATTAGATTAAGGGATCTGAAAAGCTGGCTGCAAGAATTTCTATTACAATTACATTTCTATTACTATTAATTAAAGTGCCTCAGTATTAGCTCTAGTCTGTATATTAACTCAGAAATGCCAAGAAGTAGTCTATATTGTATGGTCTGCCTGGTAATATTATATTATGTGGACAGTAACTTGAAACAATATCAATTCCTATGAGCCATGTTTCTCCAATTTCCATTTCTAATATATTTCAAGCTAATATTAGGTTTGAAGATAATGTTAGAGTTGCTAAGCAACACAGTAAGAAATGATTATAAAACCAGAGTAAAAAGGTCAAGAGCCATGTGCCACATGGATTCCTCAAAACTTCTATGCTTAGGTACTGAAAGCACTGATAGATAATATTCTCCCAAGGGATTCTGAACTATAAAACATCAGTGTCTCTCAAGGTAATATATTATTTTACTTGACATGTCAGTTGAAGACTTGTCATAGCCCCAGCCCGGTGAAGGGTAACT